CGCCAGGCAAGCGCGCCTTCCCCGGGAACCGGACGCGCGGCGCGCCTGGGCAGGGGCAGCACCGCGCGGAGACCTCGGCCCCCGGCGGCGTCGCGGCGACGATGGCCGCTGGCTTCTTCCAGAGCGCGCCGCGCGCGCGTCGATCGAAGACGACCGAGCCCGCGGGCGGCTCGGGCGATGCGCGGGCGCTGGAAGAGCTGCGACCTGGCTGGGTTCTCGAGGGCTACGTAGACCCCCGTGCGGCGCGCGAGCTCCAGGATGCGCGCAGCGAAGCGGACGCGTCTCGAACGTGGCGGAGAGGCCGCCCCGGTCGCGCGGGCTGGCGGGGCCTACCCAGTGCACGGCGTCGCCAGCAGAATGGCCCGCGCGGCCCCCGCTCGGATCCACCGCGCAATCTCAGTTGCCACCTTCGGGTTGAGAACATCAAGATGACGACCATGGCGAGCGCCAGCGGTCGCGCCCACTCGAAGCCCCCGCTCCGCGGCTGCAGCCGACGCCCGCCCGCAGCCGCCAAACAGCTCCAGAAAGGCGGGGCGCGCGCGAGACACGTCGGGCCGCCGCGGCGCTGTCCCGCGCTCCCTCGCGGAGCCAAGGCGAGCGGCCCCCGCGGCGTCGGCGCGGCGCCCGCTGGGTCAGCTCGGCCTCGCGGCGGCGGCCCCGAGCCGGGAAGCGCCGCCGCGGCGGCCCCGCGGCGGGGCCTCGGCGCGCCAGCTGACCCGCTGGCGTCGCCAAGGGGGCTGCCCCCGCCCGCCTCGGAGCCGATGGGCGAGGCTGGCGACGGCGGCGCCATCGGCGCCGGCGGGCTCCGCGCCGAGACGAGGCGTCGTCGCCCTGGCTCGGGCAGGCCGCCCCCCGCTCGGGCCCGACGGCGGCCGCGAGGTGGGGGGCCCGCAAGACGGCGCCCGACGCCCGCTGGACGGCCCTCAGCCAGCTGCTGTAGGCGAGACTCGCATCCCAGTCGGAAGGGTTCCGCTCGGTCTCCGCGTAGCGGCTGCAGCGCTGCGGGCCAGCCCTGGCATCTCGGCGTCGCGGGCCCGCCCGCGGTCGTTGGCCAGCGTCTGCGCGAGGTTGTCCCCGAAGCTGAGGGCGCGGTGGCCGCGGGAGCTCGGCGCCTCGAGCTCGCGGCGCAGCCCGGGGGGAGCGGCGCGAGCCTCCTCGCAATGGATCGCGCCCTTGCGCTTCCAGCGGCCCGCCGCCGCCCGCCGCCAGCGGTGGGGCTCGACGAACGCGTCGGGGCCCTCAGGCACCGAGCCGGTGACCTCTCGCTGCGCCCGCGGCTTCTGAGGGTGAGCGCTGGCCCCCCGGCTGCAGAGCGCCCCCCTTGTCGCCCAGGTCCCGCGCCGGGGCGGACTCCAGCTCGGGGCCCACCCAGTCCGAGAACGGGCCGACGGCAGGCAGCGAGGAGACGGCGCGCCCGCGAAGCGCCTCGATGTCGGCGCGGGCGGCAGCATCTGCGGGCACGACGAGGCGCCAGCGCTCCCGCCAGACGGCGACAAGCCAGAGCTCGGCGGGCGCGGCCCCCGCCCGGCGCAGCCCATAGCCCTAGGCCGAGGCGTCGCTACAGTAGCAGCGGGGCAGCGCGGGCGCAGCGACGCCCGCGCGCGCGAAGTGCGCCGGCCCGCAGGCGACCGCCAGCTCATGCAGCGCCGCCGACTTCAGGCAGACTGACCGCGTCGCTCCCGCCAGAGCCCGCGAAGCGATGCGCCACCCTAAAACAGACACGGGCGCGCCGCCGCACGCTGATTTGGCGCGCGAGGTGGCCGAGAAGCTGCCGCGCGCGGTTCCGGCTGAGCGACCGCCGCCGCGCGACCTCGCCCAGGGCGAGCCAGAGGCGCCGGGGGCGCGCGGGCTTCGATCTGGCGCGCCCAGCGCCAGCCGCCGTCAAAACAGCAGGCCGATCGCTTCGAAGACCTCGGCGGGAGCGACCCCCTCATACACCGCGAAGCCGGCTTTCCCGAGCTCGACCACCTGCTGGCGCAGCGTCGCCGCGGCCCTCGGGCCCTGGCCGAAGACGTTCGCATCGTCGACGCGCAGGGCGCGCGCGCGCGGCGAACCCCTGGCAGAGAGAGGTCGGCGGCTGGCCGCCCCCCGGCAGCACCCGGAACATACCGGGCACCTCCTGGGCCCGTCGGCGCGCGAGCGAGAGGGCGCTGAGGCGCGCCTCGGGGTCTCGGGCGAGACCGCGACGTCGCGGCCCACCTCGAGGTCGCGGACCGACTCGACGCCGACGTCGCCGGCCAGCGTGCACGACCCGACCCAGGCCGAAGTAGCGCGAGACCCTCGACGCCAAGAACTGGTAGGAGCCGTCCTTGAGGTCCACCCGGGCCCCCGCAGAGAGGGCGAGCCCGCTGGGGCGCCGCCCCCGCGTGCGCGGGGCCTGGCGCCGGCGACGCCGCCGCGCTTCTGGCGGCGAGCCGCGAGTGCGGAGCACGTCTGTGGAGGGCTTCGACAGGGCGACAGTCGAGCACCATCCGCAGCATGCAAGTCTTCTTCCGCGCGAAGAAGATGCCCGCCCGCGGGCGCACCTCCATCCTGTGCGCGACAAGGCCCGCTGCCTCCGGCTTCTCGAGCAGGTCGTCGAGCTGTCGCGGCTGCGAAGTAGCCGCTGGTCCCAATGAGGCTGGGTCGGCGACTTGGGGATCTCGTCAGTGGGCAGGGCGATGCGCTCGGGGCGCAGCAGGTGCTCGCGGGCCTCGGCGTCGACCGCGGTGCCCCACGGCGCAAGCCCGCCTCGGGCGACCGCGGGCTTCGCGGTCTCGCACGCGCTGCGCGAGACGTCGGGGTCGCGCAGGTCTTCGTCTTGAGGATGTCCTTGAGCGCCCCGTCAAGGCGCAGTTCGAGCGCGTCGGACCTGGCCCCGGCGGTCGAAGCCGCGGCCCTCAGGCGACCAGGTGGCCTGCTGGCGCGAAGGGGGCGGCCCACCCGGCGCGAGGTGGGCAAGCCTCCGCGGCGGCGGCGGGCCCTTGGCCCGAGCGCTGGCCAACGCATTGAACGGGGCTGCAGCCGCGACGGCCAGCTCACGCCCATCCCGGCCCAGCGCGTCGAGCCCGTCGGCGACGGCGGCCAACCGCAAGCCCCGAGCGCCAGGCGGCATCACCGCGGGAAAAGCACCACGAGGGCGACGAGGCGCGACGCCGCACCGCGGCGCGCCCAGCAAGTCAAGCTCGCGGGCGCAGCCGGCGCCCACGCGGAGGCACCTCCGACCAGCGTCGCATCTTGCCCCCAGCGTGCGGGCCCTTCTCGGCGGTCTCCTCGGCGAAGAGCCTCTGCCGCTTCAAGGCGAAGGCCTCGGCCTTCTGCTCCTCCGCGATGAACTTCGCGAGCTCCCCCATCGTGACTGGCGCGCCCGCGTCCAAGCGGCTGGCCAGCATCACCTCGAGATCCCTGAAGTCGGGGGCCACGGGGTTGCGGTGGATGCCCCGCTCGAGGCACGACGCTCGCCTCGACAGAGCCTCGGCGCCCGCAAGATGGAAGGCGTCGACCTGGTCGAAGCGCGCTGAACGGCCAGTCCTCGGCGGAGGGAGAGCCTGCAGAGGCAGCCGAGGCGCCGCCAGCATGGCGGCGCTCCTTCACGTCGACGAGGGCGTCCCGGAAGTTGACCGAGCGGTGGCCGCGGGCGTCGCGCTCGATCGCCGGCGCGCGAGGGTCGCGGCTGGGCCCCGAGCGTTTCTCCCCCATCCAGTCGTTGAGGTCCCCAGCTTAGACTCGCTCGGCCGCCGTCCACCTGTCGTCGTCGATCAGCGCCAGACCGGCCGAACCCTTCTGCGCGAACTTCACGGGGTTCACTGCGATGGTCACCGCCACCGCCTGGCCGAACATGTCCAAGCCTGGGTCCGAGACGATCCGCTGCGCCTGCGGGCCCGCCGGCGCGGGTGCCACACCGCCGAGCGGGGCCGCGAGGGCAGTGGCCTGCCGCTGCAGCTCCGTCAGCTCGTCGTCCGTCAGCGGGTCGAAGCGGCACACGTTGCCCTGCACCCTATCCGGGACAGGGCACGCGCGGGTGAACGGGACCACCTGGTGCGCAGCGAAGTCGATGACCTGGACAGCGTGGGTCGGCGTAGAGCAGGCCCACGTCGCCCCCTCGGTGACATTGGCCAGCAGCACTCGATGGTGCCACCTGGCGTTGGGGTCTTCGTCGTAGTTCACCGCCACCTGAAGGGCCTGTATGTCGAGAGCGACCTGCCGCGCCGCGATCAGTTCCTGCGGTGCCTCGTCCTCCAGATGCCAATCTCAAAAGGCGTCGTCGACCCCGGGGAAGGCGGGGTCGGGCCTGGCGACAGCAGAGCCAGGGGGCCACCAGCACAGGACCGAAGAGCACGGCCAGGCTCTGGCAGCTCGAGGGCGCCGGCGGGGCCCTTTCCGAAGCTGGCGCCGCCCGCAGCAGCTCCAGCAAGTCGGCCGTGCCCCCACAGCCGACAGGCGCAGGCCCCAACCAGGGCGACTGCGCCGAGCAAGAGGCCCCCGAGGCCCACCCGCGCGCCCGCCCAACCGCCGTCGCAGCTGAGGGACGGGCAGGCCGGCACAACCGGCGCCGGGCACGCCGAGATCACTGGCCGCGCGCACGCTGGGCACGCTGCAGCAGGTGCAGGGAGGGTACGCGTCCTCCTCCCTGGTGCAATGGCCGACCCGCTCGAAGGGGTCGTACGCCGGCGGCGCCGGCGCGAAGGAGTCCAGCCACGAGCCCGCGAAGGCGCTCACGGAGGCAGCGATCGCGGCGAAGGGGTCAGTGCGAAGCATACACCCTGATTTGGCTCGCCGAACCAAAGCAGCTTGAGCCAAAATGACGTTGGGGGCGGTTACGATCGTGGAGCGATGCTGTGACACACATACAATGCCCGATCAACTTCCTTGAGTCTCTTCTCCCCTCTCCTGCTGGCCGTATTCCCCCTCCTCTTCCTCCTGATCACCCCTCCTCTCTCCTCCTTCCTCCGCAGAGGCATGCGCACTGCAATCTTGCTGGCACCACTACCTGATCTTCCCAGCTCTCCCAATGGCCCCGCCGCTGGTGCGCGGCCGACCATTCCAACACCAGGCCCTCCGCGCAGAGCCATCGCGCCTCGCCAAAAGGCCTCAAGTCAGTGCACGACCAACTGCCTGACTGGGCGGGCGAGTACAATACTACCTGGACGTCCCAGCATCGAGCCACAAATGCAACGCATGGCAAGGGGCAAGGCACGCACGCGTGTGGGCCATGTTTCGGAGGCACCTCTTCCTCCCCCGCGTCAACAACGTTGTTCGCTTTCTCCTTTTTCTTACCCTTCCTGGTCAGATCCTCCTCCTCCTCCTCACTGAGTCATCCTCCTCAGGTGATTGACGGCGCCGACATCGGCGTTTTGGCATGGGTAAATTCAAAAAACTGATTCCAAAAAAATGGTTCCGCACTGCAAGTGCTGACGAATGCTGAAATATTTGTCGACATGATCTCGAGATTTCGAGCAGCCACAAAGCTGGTGAGGAAGTGCATTCAAGAGAAACTCGCCCAATGCACCAGCCTGCGACCTCGAGAGCGCCGACGTCGGTTCATTAGCAAAGTTGGACTCGATCAAACAAGTTTTTCAATCTTACTCGAATGTTGAAAGGCCAATGTGGGCATCATGTGTCTAGTGTAATTTAGATTACTGCGGTTCGTTCTAATCATCTTATTACCCTGCATCTAGCTGCAATATTTCTGTCGACTCACTTCGGGATCATATTGCACTTGCGAGCTCTCACCACATAGCATGTGAATGTCTGTGACGGCCGGCGAGGTCACCGTCGGCATCGACATGGTCGACTCGGCCAAAACGGAAAATGCGGCTACCTGGGCCAAGTTCTTCGGTCAGGTGCGCTAGGAGGAACTTGTGCACTTCAAAACCCAGATAGCAGAGCAAGAGTTTCACGCGAACGCACACACACACACACACACACTTACTATTCGGTCGCACGCAGCGCGGGCGAACGCCGCTCGAGAACTCCAAGAGTCGAAGCCGGGCTTCCCGAGGCAAAGTCAAGCCAACGCGGACGACAGTTGGCCAGCGAAAAAAAATAGCTCCTGTGGACTGTGGTCAACACACGAGCGGGTCTCAAATCAAATTCCGCGCGCAGCAGCTGATCCGACAGGGGCGAGTCCACGGGCGCAGATTTGGCTGTGAAGGACTGCGCGAAGCTTACGACCAGCCTGCATTCGAAAAGTCTGCCTTCTGCACAGCACCCCAGAACACTGAGGTACACTGGTATCCTGAGCGGTCGCCGCCTGGGCGCAAGACGTTTCAGGGCGAAGGCTTCCAAGCAAAGTGGGGCGACGCATTGCTCGCATTCGACACTTCGGCACAGTAGAAACATCATAAGAAATCACGAAGGGCCACACCTATTTGGACAAAAACGTGTGGGTCTGCGCAGAGCCCGTAAGAGCTCATTTACTGGAATATGTTTGCGTTTGCTCGACATCGGTTCTCATCTATGCATGACGTGGCTGTCAAGCCGTGCAAGCGTATGCTTGAACCTATGTTTTCCTGACGTATGCTTGAGATAACTCCCCACAGCTGCGGCCTGCTTCATCGCCCTCCCCCTCCTCCTCCTTCTCGTCGTCGTCCTCCTCCTCCTCCTCCTCCTCTTCCGTACCCTGTTGTGCCACGCTTCTTGCATTTGCTGCTATTTGATTACAACTGCTGGTTCTTCAGCTTCATAACCGGATGTTAACATGCATTGTCAAATGATGTTGGGACGCCCGTGCGCCAACCATGATTTAGCAAGACTTCGCGGGATATAGCACGGCCTAACACGTCTTCACCAAGACTTAGCAGGGACCCGACATGGACTAACAAGACTTAGCATGCTTTGGGCTGACATCGATGGGAGGGGACGATCCAACATCCAGAACCTAGAATGACATGAGTTCGCAGTGGCCGAGCTGAGCGCCCAAAACAAAGGAAACACTGAACGTCAACGAAGTATGATGAAGAGTAAGGTTACGAAAGAGAGGCACAAAGCAAAGGGGGCATTAAACGTCAGCGAAGTCCGATGAAGAGTAAGGTGACGGGAACAACTGATGTTATTGTTCGGCTACGAAGGTTAAGTCCCTGATGAACGGGATCGAACAAGGGGGCAACCCCCGTCCCAGAATTCTGAAGAGGAATGCACATTCGGCCGCGGGGGTGCTCGCGAGCGTGGTTCCATGACCCTGACCCCTGGCGCAACTAGGAAATCAAACGTGCGAGAGGCCGGGCCTCATGTGTAACGCAACAGCAGTTTTGTAGTAGTTGCACTAGACTTGTACTCATACTAGTCGCCTTATACCTATACGACCACCCTTCGGGTGATGAGAAGGTTCGGGGGGGGAAAGGAAACATGTGGTCCGGCCGCGCCTCAGCCGGAGGCGGGACACCGGCGGGACACCGCGCGGCACCGGCCCCCGGAGAGGAATCATTTGGTCCGGCCGCGCCTCAGCCAGAGGAGACTTTTTTCTCGCCCGCCCACGCAGCTTCGCCTCGCCCGCACGCACGGCACGCACGAACACGAAACCGAAACCGATTTCCCGGTAGGGGGGTTTTCCGTTCCACTTCGATCTCACCCCCTCACCTCCGATTACTTGTTCTATCCTGGCACGAGTTGTGGCCAGCAGTCGTAATTTTACTGCTGCACTAGTTGCAGCCCAGTAGTAACTGACCTTAGGATTGATACATCCTTCTCAAATACACATCACGTGATCTTGGACAGCCCATTGGCAGCCGCCACTGGCAAATTCAGGATCCAAGGCCACAGAGCGACCTTTCCCGCTGTGGGCATTGCGGAACTCACCGCCCGCGCGCACGCGCGTCGTGCGCTGAGCCAGTTGCTTGGCGCGTGGTCCATCGGTGGGTTCGCGCCTGCGCGTTGGATGTTCACTGTTCCGATGGGATCGCGCTTGTGCGATGGCTGTTCCTGTGTTCCGATGGGCTCGCGCCTGCGCGCCGGTTGTTCTGCATTCCGATGAACTCGCGCCTGCGCGTGTGCTGTGTCGTTTTCCGTTGGGTTCGCGTTCGTGCATGGGGGGCTGCTGCGTTCCCGAATGCTCGGCGCGCGAAGCGCGCTAAACTGCACCTATCGCCATCGGCGCACGGAGCGCGGTAAACATGTTCACGAGGGTCACTGTTCGCAGCGCGAAGCGCGCTAAACTGATAATAGCATGTACAGCAAAGCGCGCGAAGGGCGCCAAACTGCCCTTCAATATGTACAGCTGGCGGCGCGGAGCGCGCCGCGCGGCTTCCGACTCATTTGCAGTTCTGCGCGCGAAACGCGCTGACATCTACAGCGTTTGCACTTTGGCGCGCGAAGCGCGCAAAACGGTGTAGAGTGGATTTGGAGGACGACGCCGCGAAGCGCGCGAAGCCTGCATGCAAGTCGCTAGCGGCCTTCGCCGAGGGCCCCCTCGGTGTATGGGGTTAGAGTACAAAGGTACAGAACCCCTGATCCGTTGGTAGAGGAAAGGAGGGAAAGATGGATATATTTTCCTCCTGCACGATTCAAGGTCTGATCGATCTAGCCCAATACCTGAGCCCAAACGGCCAGGCGCAGGAGAGGTGGGGATAAGGAGTATATATGAGGGTATTACACGGGTTCTATTCACACACCCCGTCCCGAATCCCGCCTGCGAGGGCAGGGCTCGGGAACAGGAGAAAAGATCCCGTCGCCCTTTTACTCCTCAAATCCTCAGGTCTGTCAGGCGGCTGAGCGTTAAATCTGCATCGCTTCAGCTGCGTCCCAATCGCGATAGCGGTCACGATTAGGCAAGAGAAGGTAAGAAGGATCACCCAGGGCCCCTGTTTCTTCGCCAAGCACACTTTGGTGCCCCCTCGGTGCGCCCCACAAAAACGCTTCGGCACTCGAGGGCGGAGAAGAATGAGACACGGGTGGGCGGAGAAAGAGGATCTGATCAAGTTAAAGCACCATCAAAAGCTGCCGCGCCTGAGCGCGGCAGGTGTTGCCACCAGCTCTCAATCGATAGCTGGGCATCAGATCATTCTCAACGCAATGTTATCATAACCTAAAGAATAAACAACAAATGTGTATTCTGAAGTCGTGCTGATGAACACGATCGCGTTGAGAAACACGTCTAAATCTCAAGGCAATATGTGCGTGGCCATGCGTAAAGTCGCGTTGATAAACACGAAAAGCTGCATGAACAAATTCTGCAATTGGTTACTCCCCTCGGCGCTGCTCCTTAGGAGGCTGCCTTGGGTTTCACAAGTGTAAGTATGGCCACTTGTCTTGGATAATGAAGTGGCCTCATATTATATTGTTATTCACCGCTCGAGGCAAACTTGCATAAAGATGAAGCTCGAGCCAATCGAGCGGTGGGCCTCGCGGCCGACCACTCTAAGCATTGCCCCTCGCGTAGAACCTCTGGCCCCACACCCTGTGGCCATCCTCTGCGATGTAGCTCGTCGTGAAGGTCTCCCAGGGCGCCCTCGGGGTCCAGTGGCGGAACCTATCGTTGTGCAGCAGGTCTCTGACATACACGAACTCTTCGTTGTTGTCCGCGATGTACATCCAGCAGTTGGCATAGTAGCCCCAGTACCTGGGGCCCCACTGGCTGTCCTCTAGGTTCCTGCGCCACCACGTCGCGTAGTCCTCCGTCCTGCGCGCCCTCTTGGCGCGGGGAGGTGTCGTTGGTCTGCGGCTGTCATCGCCGCTCTGCCGCTGCGCGGCGGCACCGCGCGGCCCAGCGGGCGCGTCGTCCTGCGCGCCAGAGGCGCTGGGTCCAGCAGCATCGCCAGGAGCAGGGCGCGGCGGCGGCGGGTGCCGCGGCTGGCGTGGCTCCATGGCGTCATGAGAATGTGGAGAGCATGTATCAGGATCGATCGGATCGGTTCTAATCCCTGAACTAACCCCCCTTTGATCTGTAGAACCCATGGCAAGTTCGATGGAGGCGAGCACGGCAAGCTTCCGCTGCGTGACTTTCTCGCGAGTGCCATCCCCGCGGGGAAGGGCAATCGTGATACGTCCGCGCTCTTGCCTCGTGCCTCTATCGAGTCTGCCTGTGTTCAACCACCATTTCTTCCGACCAGCTTGGTCAGTCCTGACGCTGTGATCG